TCATATTAGAGACAGTTTCCAGAAATTGGATACGCCATTTCCAATTATATTCCATTAGCCAGAATTAGTCGCCTGCGCACATCTAGGGAGACTGGGAAACAAAGTCATTATTCTAGGATTACTTTATCCTTTCTTTCTCTTTAGTTGACTATTATAACCTGGCATGGGCAGGTCACATGGAGGGAAACTAAAAAAGCCACCTGACCCTGAAAAGATTTGCGATTTCTTCTTTCTGATATCTCCCCAAACCAGCACACAGTGCTTCCTGTTCTCCTGGGCAGGATTCCCCACAATGTTCATTCTAAAGCAAGTCATGATAGCCTCACTGAGTGAGAGAGTGGAGCCCTCCACGTGGCTCTTCTCTTTGTATATAAAGAAAGCTCAAGAACAGCAGCTCTAAATAAGGACATGCACAGAAATCAAAATGAAATAAGGGCTTGCTAGCTTTGCAACACTGTTTTCCCCTGTCAGCATCTTCTAATATGTGGTCTGTTTGTTCTTTTCTTGGGTCTAATAAATTACCTACCTTGAGAATTTTCTGGATTATTTTCGCTTAGGTCATCATCTATACAGGTGTGGAAACCAGGTACATCTCACACTCAGAGCTCATCTCAGGACAGCCAATACAGTCAACAAATTCCCCAACCCAAAAATCAGAACATGTTCCCTGATAGTAAAATTAAACCTAGGAGAACAAAATATAATTTTGAAGTCATGGTGGACAAGCAAAAAAGTGAGAGATGATCACCCTAATCATAGAAACCGTTATGAAGGCATGTTGACCTGCAGTCCCCACCCACACTCAGAGAGGGAGGCATGAAAGGCAATTTCCCTTTCTGTTCTCAGAAATCATTTACAGCCACTTAAAGTCTGATTCAAGGGCTAGCAGCTTCCTTTTTCAAGAGTGCAGAAGATAATAAGAATTTTTTTTTCTCATGATGAGATCACGTCTCTCTGAGCACTTCACGTGCCCTTTGGCCCTTGGGGACTGCAGTGCGCACATGCTGGCCTGCAGCAGCACACCCTGCACCCTGCCCGGGAGGGAGACCCAGCCGCACCCCAGGCTTGAGCAGATGAGGTCCACGGATGCCACTTACAGACGTGAATTAGGAGAGGGGAAAAGAACTGGCAGAAAGAAGTGTGCTGGAAAGGGAGCTTAAGAGTAAGGAAAGAGGAAAATGAAGAATGAGAGAAGGGAGAGCGAGACATCCGTGGTAGATGCCGCCAGCACTTGTTTAGCCACTGAGGGTTTTAGATCATGTGCCCTGCTCACCGGGAAGTCACTGAATGTGTTGCTTTATTTGATAATCACAAATTCATCTATTTTCTTTTTAAACTAAGAGACTAGAAGAGAGGGTAAAATTATTTTTATAGAGGGGATGGAGAATTAAGTTATTTATTTGGCCTTACCCAGAAAGAGAGATGGAGCATTTAGAAATGTGTATGGTTGTGTATTGTCATTTCTTCATGACCTTATGTGCCCACATCATGGAGAAAAAGGAACAAGGTCTTAATATCCTTCTACAAATATTAACTAAGGAAGGAGGAAAGCTAACTTATTTGTCTTTGATGCAATTTGTTACCCTCTAAGAAAACAGAAGTGCTTGTTACTCTGCTGAAAATAGCCCACTTAAATTTGAGTAAAAATCACATTTGTATGCTTCATTACAAAAATTATCATTGGTTACATCACTTAACTAAATCATTATTAATGGCTTTAAAAAGGATCTTTGTTTGCTAGCTTGTCCTCAGGTAACATTATCTTACATAAAATATAAGATAAAGATAACTAAATATTAAATACATGATTCAAATATCTTGTATGGTTTGGAGTAAATATGTTTAATTCATGCTTTCATCTCTTGCCAGTTTCACATTTTATTTAGCAGAAAATATCTACCTAAGACCCTAGCTTCTTCAGAAGGAAAGTCTGAAGCATTATTTCATAAAATTGTATATACTGAGATTCTTTCATGTGTAATCATAGGACTATTATGTGACTATAATCCTACTAGATTGTTATTTTTGCTTTTTTATTTTTAAATCCGTATTTAAAAGGCAAAAATGTCCTCAACAGGACCTGTTTTATATAGAGAGACTCCCTCATGCAATGGATTTTTCCATCTAAATTAGTTTGTGCCACAGTTTTGCTAAAAACATGTGTCCCCCCAAAAATGTATATACACTTTGAATACTTATAAAGGCAGTGTTTATGAAAATATATTTTATTTTCAAAGTGTAATAGAATCTACAGACATTGTGTGTACATTTTGAGGGAGGACACCCTGAATTTAACCCTCTTATATTCCTTATTGCCACAGCCTATTCTTGGAGTCATAACTTAAAACAAAGAAGTCCAAGGTATTTTATGCTTAAATTTCCTTTTTCACGAGTCTCTCCTCAATTTGATTTACAGGTTCTTCCTGATCCACAGGTATCATGAGTCCTGCTTTCCTTATCTCCTCTTCAAGTGTCAATGTCTTTCTCTCCCTCAAACAGATTGTCTTCTGTCTGTTTAACAATCATATAGTCAGGAGGCCAGGCAAACTCTTCAAACATTTACTTCAAGGCAATTAGAACTTACAGGGGTAGGATATTCTTTGGTGGGTTGTGAAGAGCCAAAAGTTGGAGGGTGACACAAAAACCATTCACCTCCCTCCCTCTAAAAAACCACTAGTTCCTGGAATGCCTGTGAAATGGTCTCTTCCTTCCTTGGCTTGGCCCATCCCTTGTCACAGTCATCTTTCCATTCAATAGGTGTGACTTGATTCACAGTACAGAACACTCTGGGAAATTTTGCACTAATGCATTAATTTATTGAATAAATATTTTACTGAGTTCCCACCATCAGCCAAGCACCTTTTGGGGCACTAGATGGGTAAAACAGAATTCCTACCCTCAGGGAGCTCATAATTTATTTAGTAGACTAACCAATTTTGAAAGGGTCTGGTAATTAAAATCTCCCATCAGTTTTCTTGAGTGGTTAATCCAGAAACTGATGGACTAGAAGGAAGAAAGAAGCATCTTAAGCACTGACAGAGGTTTTCAACATTACCAGAGCACACACATACAGTACGTCCCATGGAACAAATAAGACCTGACTTCTCGAAAGTTTTTCTTCATTAAGCCATGTGTATGTTTTATTTTGTTCTTATTGTTTGATTAAATCATTTATCTCTCCCTCTCTGAATATCTGAAATGACATTTGTGATATTTTGGAAAGTAACACTAACTTTTGAGGACAACTCTTTTTTTAAAAAAAGACATAACTGACATATAACATTATATTAGTTTCAAGTGTATGACATACTGATTCAATATTTGTATAAACAGTTGACCTTTAAATAACACAGGGGTTAGGAACACCAACCTCCAAGCAATTGAAAATCTGCGCATAACTTTGACTCCCCCAAAACTTAACTACAGCCAGCCCTTCACATCCATGGGTTCAAACCAACTGTGGATCTAAAACAATATTTTCAATCTGCAGTTGGGCACTTGAGGCTGGGAAACCGCAGTTGAGAATGCAAAATATACTGCTTTCAATCCACAGTTGGTTGTATCTGAGGATGCAAAACCTGTGTATACAAAGGGCCAACTGTATTTATTGGAAAATATTAATATATCAGTGGACCCACACAGTTCAGACCCATATTGTTCAAGGGTTAACTGTATTGTGAAATGATCACCTTATAAGTCTAGTTAAGATCCAAACGTAGTTATACTTTTTTTTCTTGGGATAAGAACTTTTAATATCTACTCTCAGGAAAACTCTTCATATGACAATTTTTGTATTATGGGAGCTTTAAAAAAACCCTCAGGCTGTCAATAGGAACTTGGTCAGTGACTGAAGAACACACTCTGTTAGAGTAGGAAAATCCTCTGCCGGGTGCAACAGCAGCCCCTGTTACTAAGGCCTGGGCCCGGAATGAACTGAGCTCCCACAGTTGGATCTGCAGGCGTCATTTCTCACCAAGGCTGAGCTGACCCTTAGCTCCAGGTGTTTCACGTCCTCGGGAACATTTCAGGGACCTTCCCTTTGGCCAACTTGCCATCATTTGTGAGCATTTAACCGGAAACTTTTAAACCAGGAAGAGCAGGAGCCATAATATTCAAACTAGCCAACTCAAGCTTATTTGTTCTTCAACTGCTCTTGGTTTGTTGACCCTCTGATGACAGAAAAACAGGGGCAGATTTTCTCTACAGCTCTGGTTTATTTGCCAGACCATTACTTTTATCAACTCTGATAACCAGGAGAGGGGCCGGGAATGCTTGTGCGCTGTAATTGTTACCACAGAATCCTAATGGGAAAACATGTGGCAGAAGGTAGGAAAGATATATCCTCAAGGTAGAAGGTGCCAGTATATGCCTTTACTTATTATTTTTATTCACATTTATGGAATGCTTACTGTGTGTCTGCATGGCCGGCCTGGCACTAGGGATGTAAAGGGGACTAAAATGTAGGTGGTCTGCAAGGAACTGAAGCCACCCAGCAAAGCCGGAGACAACCATTTCCACGGGAGCTAAGAGAGTTACGGCTGGGGAAGCACAGACGGGAACTAATTCTGTCTGCAAAGGGCTATCAGCCAAGGCTTCCCAGGGACACTGAGCCCTCCGGCGAGTTAGATCTCCCGTTAACATACAGTTAGAATAAAACCAAGAAGAAAGGGAAAGATACTGCTGGTTATTGGAATCAGGACGGAGGGGAAGGGGGGGGTTCTCTTTCAAATAATTTTAAAACACTCGAGCATTTCTCTAGCTCCCTTTTCCAGGTTCACTAGCTTTCGCCCCTACAGGCTCCCCGTATCTGACTGGGGTCGGCTTGCCTGCCGGGCAGAGGTGTAGAGATTTTCCAGCGATGCACTAGAGCCGCGCTCAGGGGCAGCCATGAGTTCTTCTTGCAAGAAAACAAACAGTAGCCGGCAGCACAGCGGGACAGAGCGGTATCTGCTGACCAAAGGACGCGTTAACCATCCCCCGTCTCTCGTTCGTTCCCCCAGGTCTCTGCGGGCGGAGGGTCTGGAACCGGACCACGGGGCGTCCATGACCCCCGCGGCTGCGCCCCGTCAGCGATGAAAGGCCTATCGGGCAGCCGCGGCCACCACCACGGAGTCGCCTGTGACCCGGCCTGCGACTCGCACCCCCCGGACCGCAAGCCGTACCTGCTGGGCCCGGCGGAGCCGCACCCGGCCGACCACCCCTACTACGCGCAGCGCAACTCCTTCCAGGCCGAGTGCGCGGGCCCCTTCAGCGACCCGCTGGCCAGCAGCACCTTCCCGCGCCGCCACTACGCCTCGCAGCAGGAGCTCAAGGACGAGTGCGCCCTCGTGCCCCGCGCCCTGGCCGCCAAGGCCAACCGCCTCCCCGCCAACCTCCTGGACCAGTTCGAGAGGCAGCTGCCGCTCGGCCGCGATGGGTACCACACGCTGCAGTACAAGCGCGCGGCGCTGGAGCACCGCAGCGACAGCCCCGGGCGCATCCGCCACCTGGTCCACTCGGTCCAGAAGCTCTTCACCAAGTCGCACTCCTTGGAGGGGCCGGCCAAGGGCAGCGTGAACGGGGGCAAGGCCAGCCCCGACGACACGCAGGCCGCCAGGTACGGCAAGCGCCCCAAGAGCAAGGAGCGGCGCGCCGAGCCCAAGGCGCGGCCCAGCACCTCGCCCGGCACCTCCCCGGGCTGGTGGAGCTCCGACGACAACCTGGACGGCGACATGTGCGTCTACCACTCCCCGTCGGGCGTGATGACCATGGGCAGGTGCCCCGACCGCTCGGCCTCGCAGTTCTTCGTGGAGACCTACAACACCCTCAGCGAGCAGGCGGTCAAGGCCTCGCGGAGCAGCAACGACGTCAAGTGCGCCACCTGCGCGCACCTGCCGGTCACCCTGGACGCGCCGCTCCTGAAGCAGAGCGCCTGGGCCTCCACGCTGACGGTGAGCCGAGCCCGGGAGGTTTACCAGAAGGCCTCGGTGAACGTGGACCAGGCCCTGGTGAAGGCCGAGGCGTGTCAGCAAGAACGCTCCTGCCAGTACCTTCAGGTACCGTTGCTGTCGGGTGGTGGGCGGGTGGACGTTGTACCTGCGAATGGTGTGGCGGCTCCTCCTGGCTCTAGTGTTGGCTCGCCTGTGCGTGAAAACACTGTTGAGCGTTGCTGTGGCTAAGTGCCCCGGTCAGGAAGCAGAGGTGCTACCACAGCTACCTTGAGACACTCACATGAGAGTGCGTTGGAAAGCAGGCCCGCATAAAGGCCAGGGGTCCTTCAGGTTTCCTGTTCTCCTTTGGTCTGGAGGATCGTGGGATAGAGAGGACAGGACAGGGGAGCCCACACAGAATTTTAAAATAAACCCACCTTTTTACAAAAGTCAACAATGACCTTTGGAATTTTGGAAAGAGTTTTTTAATTACATCTATCAGGATTTGGGGGTTTTTTTGTTTTTAGTTGTAAAATTCTGCCTGAAGTTACTAGTTTGGGGAAAATGGACGTGTCTTCACCAATCGTCACACCAACACCAGCACTGACCACACTCCTACCTGGGCCCCACTCCCCCAGAGGAGCAGGGGAATGGGGATAGTGCCCTGAGCCCTGAGGGGGTGGAGGTGGAGCCAGTTTGGGGACCCTGCAAGCCCAGCTGCAGAGACCTAGGACAGCAGAGACAATGAGGAGAAAGGGGAAGCGTCCACACAAATAAGATACAGTGAGTGTCAGGGTGTAGATCCCACACACCCAGACCCACCGCAGGCCGCTCCTCCCCTACCACCATCTCCTCGTGTTTTTCCTACCACCCACAATTCACTTAAACTAGATTGCACCTGGGTAAAAATAACAGGGAAAGAGTCTTTCTCTTTCCTCCCACCTGCCTCTAGTATTGTCATTTTTCCCAAGACACAACCCTTCATAAGAGTGACCCTCATATCCTGCCTCTTTACAGTGTCTTTTTTCCTTTCTCTCACTATCCCCATCTTTTTTTTTTTAAGTTTCTACTGTACTATACAAGTATGAGATAATCATTTCCCACTCTCATCTTAAGAAGAAATGCGAAGGGGGGGGGGAGAAAAAAAAAGTCCTCCACTGAGAAGTTTATCTTCTTGGTCTCTTCCTGGACAAACCTGGCTTCCGTGGACATGCCTCCACGAACCCTGAGGATATTCTAGGCTGGCAGACAGTGGGCAAGGACAGTGCCAGAGCCCAACCCCAGAGTTCAGAAGAAGCCACCAGCATGTGGATAGTTTTCACAAACAGTACAGAATTACATGGTGTGTTGCCTAATTTAGAGCTAAAAGGGATCGTCTAATCTAACCTCCTCATTTAGCATATAAAAAACTACTCAAAGAAAAGACTTAGTGGGTTGGTTATACTGTTAGTGTGTGGCAGAGGTAGAACTAGAACCCCAGCCTCTAAATTTATAGAAATGACCATTATAAGGTTCACATCTGAAAACTTTAGACATGCCTTAAACACATAAGTCTCATCCACCATTGAGAATAAAGTATTTTGATAAGAATATGTCTTGAAGAAAGAATCGATAATGAGATTGAAGCCCTAGAATAGGATATTTTGTCTATAAAGTTTCTGTGACTAGCAGCAAAAATTTTTAAAAAAATTTTAACTGGACTTTGGTAAGTAGTGATGAGATTAGATGAGGGATATAAGATTGAAGAAGGATACTCCACATGCCTTTGGGACCAGTCTTTGTTAGTAACAAAATGCTTTCCTTACGCGTACATCATTGTCTATATTCTGCCTGCCTTAAATTCAGTTCTCTTTCCTTTTTATACCTTTCTGAAGTAAAAAGCTCAAGTAGAACGATAAGGAAAGAAAGAAGGAAACTAATATTAATTGAAAATTTACTATGTACCCGATGCTGTGGCAAATATTTCCACATTTGTTATTTCATTAATCCTCATAATAATTCTGAGAGCTAGTTATAATAATACTCAGTTTTTACAAGAGAGGAAACCAAAGCTTAGAAACTAAGTGATTTAAAGCCACATGTCCAGTAAATTGTGGAGCTGAGACTTAGGTGTATGTGATGCAAAAGAGCTCTTTCCTATGTACCCCAGCACAACCCTGGAATCAAAGGCATGAAAATAAAGAGCAAGGAGAAAAAAACCTTTAAAGTAAACATGTCATTTAAGTTCTTAAGTAAGATGAGAATGAAAACTTGAACGTTTAAGTATAGAATTTAGCACAGACTTATCAGTCTATCTATCATAAAGATTTGGAAATTCTATTTTCAAATTATTTACCTTATTTTAAGCCAATTTTTTAAATGAAATATTTGAGGCTTACAAAAGGCTATTTAAAAAAAGGTAAAACAAACGCCCATTTATACATCACCCAGCTATAGAAATAAAACATTAATTGTAATGGATCTCATCTGCTCCTTCCTCAGTCCCACTTCCCTCCCTTCCTCCTCAGAGTAATAGCTAATCTGATTGATACCCAAAGCACCTTTGTTTTTAATTTTGAAATTATCAAGAGATTGAAAAGTTTAATGCTTTCTATTCTACAGTGGGCACTAACCCTAAACCAAGCTAGTTCAAGCCTTTAAATGTAAACTGAGAACAAAGTTATACCTTCTTTAACAAATGTTGACATTTATTAAGCTTCTATTCTGTTCAATTCCTTCAAACTAAAAAAAAAAAAAAAAAAAAAAAAACAAATTTA